GGTTCCTCTGTCTTTCACATGAGATCAATAATAATAATAATAATAATGAAAAAAGTGAAAATTTAAGAAGCCAATTGTGATGGTCAATGCCTGTGATCCCACAGTCAGGGGATTGAGGCAGGAAGATCAGGAATTTCAGGCTAGCCTGGGCTACATAGCTAAATTTTGTCTCAAAGAATCAAATAATAGCGGCTACAGAGATGGCTCAGTAGGTAGGTACTGTGCGCTGCCCAGGAGTATACTGACCTGAGTTCAATCCCAGAACCCACATAACCAGCTAGACATAGAGTAGTGCCCGCTTGTAGTCCCAGTACCAGGGAAACTGAGACAGGCAGATATCCCTGGGGCTCCCTGGCCTGCCTAGTCTGTGAGCTTCCTGCTAAGCAAAGGACCTGTTTCAAACACAAGCTGTATGTCACCTGAGGAATGACACCCAAGTTGATATCTAGCCTTCAGAGGCATGTGTACACATGTATACCTACACACAGCACACAGCACACACCACACACACACACATACATACACCACACACACACACACAGCACACACACACACAGCATACACCACACACACACATACACACACCACACAGCACACATCACATACCACACACACATACCACACACACAACACACACATGCCACACACGCACACACACACAGCACACCACACACACACACACAGACTGGGCCTGGTGAATGATGTCTATAATCCCAGCACAGCACTTGGAAAGCTGGGTCAGGAGGATGAGGAGTTCAAGCCTCAGCTACACAGCAAGTTTCAGACCCATCTGAGCTACAGGAGTGGTGGGCTAGAAAGATGGTTCAGTGGTTAAGAACATTTGTTGGTTTTGCAGAGGACCCGGCACCCACATGGTGGCTTACAAATGCCTGTAACTTCAGTTCCAAAGAGCTCTGGCTTCCGTCAGCTCCTGTCTACACATGGCTCACATAAACTCAAGCAAGTAAACACTGGTAACATAAAGAAAACAAATAATACATTTTTACATTTTTGAATATTACTACTAAGTGGTGATTTTTTTTTTTTTTTCTTGAGACAGGATTTCTCTCTGTAGCCCTGGCTGTCCTGAAACCCACTCTATAGATTAGGCTGGCCTCAAACTCACAGAAATCCACCTGCCTCCGCCTCCCAAATGCTGGGATCAAAGGCATGTGCCACCACTGCCCAGCTCTGAGTAAATCTTAAAATAAAAAAATTTTAAAGAAAATTAAGTCACCATAATAACAACATGGAGCCTGGCCACTTCAGAGAGTGGTGATGAACCCGATTCGGTGCCTACCACAGCCCGGGAAACAGTCATTGCTCTCTTTGGAGAACACTAACACTTTTCTTTGAAGAATTCCCCAATGCAGCAATGGCAGCAAGAGTAAACATATCTGAGCCCTTGCCTTGCTCAGGACTTTATATGCTTTCATGTATTTAATTCTTTAGTGATCAGTTATCATTAATCCCAGCACTCAGGAGGCAGGTGATCTCTGTGAATCTGAGGCCAGCCTGGTCTGCAGAGAGAGTTCCAGGCCAGCCAAGGCTACACACAGAGAAACCCTGTCTCAAAAAAAAAAAAAAAAAAAAAAAAAAAAAAAAAAACAACAACAATAGACCCACTTTACAGAGGGGAACACTGAGGTATGGAGAAATTCACTCACAGCTAAATCAGCAGCTGGAACTCAAACTGAGTGTATTAACGTCCCCAAATAGTCACCCCTGTAGTCACCACCCTTTGCTGTGTTACTATTTTGTTCTCCAACTTCCTGGGGAAGGAAGGTCCATGGGTTCTGGGGAAACTCCCTTCCCTTTGACCCTGGCTTCTAGCATGTGACTTGCTTTGACCAGCAGAGTTGACTGGGAGATACTAGCAGACCAGTCCCCAGCCTTAGACACAGGAGACTGTTTGGGCTAACTGTAATCTTAGACTAGGGTAGGTGTCACAGACTCTCCAGCCAAAGTCAGCAACAGCCAATGAAGAATCCCTTCACTGGGACACCCCTCAAACTTGAGTATGTCCCGCTGAGGCCTGAAGAACTAGGCAACCAAGTCTAACCTAAATTATTAAACTCTTGACACACAGCTAAATAAATGTTTCAGGACAGTGAGCTGGGATTGGGGGGGGGGCGTTGATTTGTTACACAGCATTCCAGGAGCAATAGCTGGCTGATACATTGTCTGCCTCTAGAATCCTGATACATTATAAATACCCATTTGGCAGGGGTAAGTGACATCCAGTATGTCTGCAACACAACCCCCACATACACACCCCAGGCCTAGTTCTAAGACTATAAAAACAGAATAACACACTTCTTTTCAAAGGATTCGGAGAGTTGCAAACTCAGGAGAGGTTAAGATGCTAAGCAGGTTGCAAGTTGTGGCCAAGGATAGATCATTCCTTTTGGTGGACACGTTACAATCGAGTGCTCTCCCTTCCTTCTCCTACAGAAACCTTTAAGCCACCCCAGGACTACCAGCGTGACCTCAGCCAAGTCAATTGCCCTCTCTGGTCTTCATTGAATGAATCATCTGTGGAAATCCTAAGGGCGTCTGAAGACGAAATGAGTTACTCACTCAGCAAACACGGTATCTGATACACAGCAAGCACTCAACACACATCTCTCCTTATTCTTTTCTTCCTCTCAGAGTACCCGGAATTGCACAAAGAGCTTCTCAGCGTCCATGTGCTCCATCACCGAGCCACCTAGCCAACCAGCTCTGAGTTTTCACCCTTTGGTCTTAGCAAGTCTGGGGTTCTGTTCCAGAGTCAAGAAGAGGCAGGTTCGATGCTTTATTCTGGTTGTATGGAAACCTAGCTTCTTGAAATCAGTTTCTCTGTGCTTTGATTTCCTTCCCGGTTAATGGGTGGTCACAACTGTTTCCCCAGTGGAGGATACTTGACCCAGAGGAGGCGCTGAGCACTAGGCTAGCTCTTTCCCGGGCCCAGGGAGCAGCTCCGGCCTTTGAGGGTGAGGGATTTATAAGAAAAGGGGTCCTGCCGGCCCTAGCAAAAAGGCCCTGGGGCGCTGAGATGGGATCCGATGCTTTAACCCTTCCAAAGCCGCGTCTCTCTGCCCTTGTAGTCCAGTTACCAGGCTGAGTGGGGGGAGCTAGAAAGGACTAGGCCTTGGGGTGACCCATGCCTGGCTCAGAGGCTGGGCTAGGTGGGGGTGAGAGGTTCGCTGCACGCCGGATCCCAAGCCGCCACCCGGCTAAACAGACCCGTGGGATCGGGCCCGCCAGGGTGCGGGGGATGCAGCTGGGCCAGGTGGGGAGATGCTGGGGAAGGGCCGCCATCCGCACCGCCGCTCACCTGGGCGCCGGCAGCTGATGCGGTCCCCGATGCTCGTGGCGCAGCACCGCCCTCCCTGCGGGCGTTCGCCGCCGGGCCCAGCCCGGCTCTGTTCGGCCCCGCCGGCCCGCCGCTCGGCCAGATCCGCATGCGCCGCCGTCGCCGCGCCTCCCCCACGCACCGCAGCCGCTCCGCGCGCCCCCGGGACCCCTCCCGCACGCCGCCCCGCCGCCCGCGCTGTCACACACCGGGCCACGCGTGTGTGCACAGCCGTGCTCGCAAGCGCTCGAGGCAGCCAGCGTCACACACTCCCACACTGCCACTCACACACCGGGCCTCGGGCAACGTCACACACACTCTCCACATGCACACTCAAGGTGTCACTCTTTTGCATGGGGTCACGCAGGGTCAGACCTTCGAGCTGTCATTTGAAGTGTTTTCCTCTGTGGGACGTGCCCTGCGGGGTCATTCACTGTGACACACTCAGATACAGCCTCCCCCAATGCTGTCCTATGTCCTCACCCGAACAGTGTGTAGTGCCACGCAGGGCCATACATTATGATAAACTCAGATACGGCCGCCACCACAATGTAAGGGTCGCATGAGGTCATCCGAACAGTGTCCCAGGATGGAACAGTGCCCCGTAGGGTCACTCAGTTAAGGTCAGGGCCACCAATGCTGTCTGTCACACGCAGTCACCTATACAGGGCAACGTGCCCTGCAGGGTCACAACACTATGACACACTCATATACGAGGCCACGGCCGCCAATGTGGTCACACATGTCTCGCAGCGTCTACACTCCCAAGTTGTCACAGTGTCTACACTCATACAGCACAAAGCTCACAACCACACGGTCTTACACACTTGAAATGTCACACTAGTTCCAAGGCACAGGATGACACGCCCTGTGTCGCTACACACCCACATATCAGGCACTCACACACGCACTCAGGGTAAAGAATCGCGGTAACCGTCATACACACCCACACAGAACACAAACCGTCTCAATCTGAAAGTGTCGCACTCCATTACACCTCACCTCACACACACCTCACACTCACACCACATCACATAGGCTGACTGAGTATCACCCCACAGTATCACCCCACAGTCTCCAAAGGAATGGGACAGGATGCCGCCCACAACCGTGCTGTCCCTGTGGTCCTTGAGGGTCACACAGGTACAGAATCACACACACACTCACACACCGCGCGCGTGCACACACATACTCACACACGCGCATACACACATACTCACACATGCGCGCACTCACACACAGGCACTCACACACACACACACAGAGGCCCTCACACACAAGCACACACACACACACACACGCACTCACACACACACATACACCTCTTCCTCGTTGGGAGGAGGCTCTGGTAGAGGCCAGCACCTAACTTCTGAGCCTAAGCGTAGGGAAAGGGGGCGTGAGTAAGGAGCGTGCAGTGGGCGTGGTTCCCCGCTAGGCCCCACCCTGTCCCACCCACTAAGGGTTGAGCGCTGAGTGACAAATGGCTCTAGCTCGCCCACTCCCTTCCCCAGAGGGGGCGTGGCCTCCACTTCTAAGAGCCTATCGGAGAAGATCGTCTGAAAACTGCAACCTGACTCCTGTTCCGCCCACTCGCGCTCTTCCCGGCGTGGGGCGTGGTCAACTCAGTCCCGCCCTTTGAACCCCAAAAGGAGGGCCCCGCCCCCTCCCTCTGCCCGGAGGAGGGCAGAACGCGCGCTACCTTGCAGCCACTGGGTTCCCGCGCGTCCTCGGAGTTCTCAGCCGTTCGGCCCCAGGATCCCGCAGCATGACTGTCAAGAAGATCGCGATCTTCGGTGCAACCGGCAGGACCGGGCTCACCACGTTGGCCCAGGCGGTGCAAGCAGGCAGGAACCGGGACGGGTGGGGAAGTCCTCAGCACCCGGGCGGAGCGCTGGGAAAGATCGTCCTGGGGCCGGGCGGAGGACACTTGTGACCGTGTGTGTCCCAGCCTGTGGTCACGGGGGCAGAAATAGAGGGCTCTGAGATTCAGTGTTTGTATAAGTCAAAAGCGTAGAAATTAACCGTGGGAACCTGGAGGACTCCTCTGACAGTTATATGTTAGCCAGGGGCTCTTATGAAACGCGTTTGTGACTGTGGTGGTGGTCCTAGTTAGCACACCCTGAAAGGGTTTTCTGAACCAGCACCAGCTTGGCGCCGGGACAGCAGAGCCATCTCCCTGCACGTGTTAAGGCCTGGTGGCCCTCATTTGGAATGCGAACTAGTATTACCCCACTTGACAGATAAGAAAACTGAGGCTGAGAGAATGACTTGCAGGTACGTGGCTGTGTTGGGATTTGAATCGGGTTCGTGCTCTTACGCACCAATTAAAATAAAAAAAGTTTAGTTACTAGAACAGAAAATCGAAAAGGTTAGGCAGCTATTACTGCAAACATAGGCTGGAAGAGAGTGTCAAGAGAGTGACAGCCTTGGAAGAGAAGCAGCCTTGGAATGGTCAGTGAGCTAAAACTTTGTTACTGTCCCGAGAAAGGGACGCCCCAGCTTCCCCCTGGCCCCTCAAGTCTAGAAGTTAACTCAAGACCAGGCCTGAAAATTCCAGATAAAGGGCCACACCCTTGCTAGTCTTGGCGATTCTTAAGATATTGACTATCAGAGAGCCCCAAAAGGGTGGAGGCCACCAGAAACCCTGTCTCCGCTGATTCCCGGTCCAGCTCTTGGCGAGGCTGTATCTAGAAGTTTCTTTTCCTCAGGGGCCGTCCTCGCCAGTGACTTAGCGAGGATCTTAATTCAAGGCAAAGGAGAGAGCCCTGGCCTCCCAGTGAAAACCGGTTTGTGTCTGACTGTAGCAGTGTAGTAGTTAGTGTGCACCCAGCACTGCGGAGGCAGAGGTAGGTTGGGGCTCAGGAGTTCAAAGTCATCCTCGGCTACAATGCGAGTTCAAGGCCATCATGGACTACCTGAGACCCATCCCCCACCCCCACCCCCACCCCGTCTCAAAACAACGAAACCAAAGTAAGCTGCTGATAAATCATTTCTAAGGAGGAAGAGGGAAGGGAATAGAGAAGTGCTGAGTCACCATGAATTTGTGGATTATCCTGTTAATCCCCAATACCACTGTTTACCGCTGGCTCACCCTGCTGGTCATATATGGAACTGCAACAAGAATTCGAGGAGGCTGGGCCTTCTCCCCCAGTGGCTCAGAAAGTCCTCTGGGGCCTGGTGCAGTAGGACCCATTGCCTAGCATGCTCAAGGCCCTGTGCACCATCCCAGCATAACCAAGGAAAACATGTGGCCAGGAAGGGCTTGAGTGACTTGAGAGTTTTATTTCCTCGGTGTCATTTCATAGGGTCTAGGGTCTGACTAACATGGATTCTGGTTCATTCCGCATATTCAAGCAGCTAGGTCCTTGACACACCACATTGGTGTGGCCAGATGCCTTGTCAGCTACAGTTAGAGACCTAAACCTCTGTAATAAATAAGTAAAAGAAGGAGAGAGAGAGGAAGGAGGGTTAATCAGCACTGAAGTACTAGTTGTAAACCAGAAAGACGGGTAGCTGGGTAAAGGCACCCGACACCATGAGTTGAACTCCCAGAACCCAGATGGTGGAGGCAGAGAACCAACTAGAAAAGCTGAGCTCTGACCCCATACACTCACACAAATAAATAAATAAATGGGCAGAAACAGAGCTTGCTTTGGGGCACTAATTAAACGGAGAAAGTGCTTAGGACCGGGGGCCATGTGTAGTTGTCGGGAAGTGACTAAACCTGGGCCAAGTTAACTCACATTAAAGGTTATAAGCCTGTCTTGAATTCTTCGCTGGCTTTTTCCACCCACTGTGTGGTCATGGCTAGTTACCTAAACTTGCCTCAGTTCACCCATCTTCAAAGCAGGCCTGATAATAATCGCTACTTTGTAGAACTGTTACAATGTAATACTTCTCAAAGTAGGGGTCTTGGTGAGTTTCAATTGGTCACAAAGAATCAAAATGTATCCAGTTGAGTAGATAAGACCGAGCCTAGCAGCCAGGCCCAACCACCTGTCCTCATAAGGATAGCTAGTGAGAAGAATTTATATTCTCCCCTACTCTGGTCCATCTTTCAAGGTCTTGACAAAAGGTTTGAGTTTAAATTGAAGCCAAAGAGGCATCTGTAAGCAATCAGGCCTGGTCAAGATGTGGTCATCACCAGCATCATCGTGTTGACCCCTGTGTTCCGCAAGGGTGTCTAACCAGTAGTCAGAACTATGAGATCTCGCCATCTTCTGCAACCCCCTCCCCCCTCCCCCCAGATTCCTACTCCTGCCAGCATGAGACATTTAGGGAAGCTGCAGTTTCTTGGGGTCCATTCGTTGTTCTGAGCTTTCTGATTAATGCCTACATTCCGCCTGGGATAGTTACAGCATGCCAGATGTTGGTTTGATGTGTGGACTGGGTTAGGCAGCGAAAAAGCTTAAAAGTGAATGAACTTTGCAACTTACTCTCAAACAGAAAGAGTTGTACGAGTATATTTCTATGCAAATATGTAATTCTGCAGGTCATATATTATGTATATAATTAAAAGGGGGAAGCAAGTTGGGGGAATCTTACAACTTCTCTATAGCTGAGTTTTTTTAAAAATAAAAACTTAACAGAATGCCTGGCCAGATGTTTCACACCTGTATTCCTAGCACTCAGGAGGCAGACAAGAGGAATACAACAGGTTTGAGGCCAGCCTGAGCTATATAGTGAGTTCTATGCTAGTCTGGGCTATGGAGTAACATCCTGCCAAATAAATAAATACAAAAATAAAAACACTGAATGTGTTTGGTAGATAATAGCTGTGTCATTCTTTTTTTTTAATGTAAATATATTTGGGGGGGCTGCATGAATCTCTGTGCATTACTTTCATGCCTGCCTGGTGCCCATGGAGGCCAGACAAGGGAGCCAGGTCTCCTGAAATTAGAGTTGTAAACAGTTTGGTTTTGGTTTTTGGAAACAGAGTTTCTCTGTGTAACTGCCCTGGCTGTCCTAGAACTCACTCTGTAGACCAGGCTGGCCTCGAACTCACAGAGATCCACCGCCTCTGCCTCCAGAGTGCTAGGGTTAAAGGTGTGCGCCACAACTGCCCAGCAAGAAGTTATAGACAGTTGTGAGCCACCACATGGGTCCTAGGAGTCAAACCTGCCTCCTCGGGCTAGAAAAATGGCTCAGCGGTTAAGAGCAGTAGCTGCTCTTCCAGAGGTTCTGAGTTCAATTCCCATAAAGACAGGTCACTCATATACATAGAATAAAATAGATAAATGTAAAAAACAAACAAACAAAAAAACCCAAACCAGCTCCTCTGGCTGAGTAGCAAGTACTCTTAACCACTGACCCATCTCACCAGCCTCTGTATGCGGCTCTTTTAATTTCAACATGAATTGTGTGGTGCCTGTTTTTGTTGGTCTGAGACATTGCCTCACCTTGTAACCCCAGCTGGCCTGGAACTCCCTGTGTAAACCAGGCTGGCCTGGAACTCAGGTACCCGCCTGCCTCCTGCCTGCTGGGTTTAAAAGTTGAGCAGCAGAAGCTGCTGTCTAGGCAACTAATGAGCTGCATGAGGCTCCTTATCCAGGGACCACAGGGCCATCTTGAAACCCAGGTGCATGGGTGGCAGGGACTTTGAGCGTGGGTTTGCGAAGGAAATGGAAGTGAGTGTGAGCCCTGGAACTGCAAGGCTCTCAGCTTTCTCTCGGTCAGTAGAGTCATGATGGAGGAAAGAAAAGTGATCCAAAGGAGAGGGTGGAAGGGGTCTGAGGCACAGAGCACACATGTGCAAAGGCCGGGAGGCAGGAAACAGTGAGGTAAACTGAGGAACGAGGAGGAGGACAGCAGGTGAAATGATGGTGACTCTGAGAGGAGCAGCCAGAGCCAGCGGGGCCTAGAAAGCCTGTCCTGCACAGTGTGCAAGACACAGCAGGGCTAGGAAGGACCTGGGGACGGAGATGCTGCTGTCTGGATTGAGGATTCCAAAGGGGCAGGGCAGTGCAGGGCCCAGAATCCAGGGGAGACCCAGGCAGAGGGAGTCCTTATAGGAGATTAAATCCTGAGGTGATTAAAAGGCATAGCAAGTCATTCCTGGTGGGCTCAGCCCAGTAGTTAAGAGGCAGAGACAGGAGGATTGCTATAAATTCAAGGCCAGCCTGAGCTACATGGTGAATCTCAGTCCAGAATAAGCTACAATGTGAGATCCAGTCTTAAAGTAATAATAACAACAACAATAATGATGATGAAATTTTAAAAATATTAAAACTAGAGTTGGGTGTTTGGTGGCGCATGCCTTTAATCCCAGCACTCAGGAGGCAGAGGCAGGTAGATCTCTGTGAGTTTGAGGCCAGCCTGGTCTACAGAGCCAGTTCCAGAACAGCCTCCAAAGTTACAGAGAAACCCTACTCAGAATGAATGAATGAATGAATGAATAAATAAATAAATACAGCTGGAGTCTGAAAGATGGCTCAGTGGTTAATAGTCTTTGCTACTCTTGTAGAAGACCCAACTATAATTCCAGCACCCAGTTACAGGCAACCTGTAACTCCAGCACCTCTGACCCCCATGAGCATCTGCCCTCAGATGTGCCTCACGAACACACACACCACACAACCACACACACCCACACACACACCCCACACACACACCCACATACACACAACCCCACACACATATACACCACACACACACACATATACACCACACACACACAACCACACACATATACACCACACAACCATACACACCCACAACCACACACACACACAACCACACACACCACACACACATATACACCACACACACACAACCGCACACACAACCACACACATATACACCACACAACCACACACACCACACACACAACCACACACATATACAC